TTCTGTCTCACGGCTTGTCCCCCATTGGCGCTCGCGTGGCATGCCGGTGAGGTGAGGTACTGTACGCATACGGTAGTCACCTTGCTTGGGAGAAGAAACGAAGAAGTAGACGTCTCTCGGTCCCGAAGGCTCGTCGCAGATACCAAGAAGCCCACGCACTACTGTCGGCAGGCGAGCCTATTATCGCCCTGTCGCGTGTGAGGCACAGTACAGTCCCGGACGTTTCGCTTCCCCTCTCGCGCGCCCATCCGCCTCAGTCATCCAGTCCATACCGGGAACGGTGCGGTACTCCATACATACCACCATCGCTCGTTTAGTTTCTGCCGCACGTGCCCGATGCAACAGACTCGGGACCGGCAGGTCAAGGTCGACATGTCGGACACGGCAGAATCCAGCGTCCACGACCATGGCGACCCATATAGGCAGAGCCAGAGCGCCTCTCCCGGCTCCGGCTCCTCGGCCCCACAGCCGCCGCAGCAGCAGTATGCGCATCAGGCCCAGGACTTATCCAATGTCATGAAGGTCACCCGCGGCACATCCTGCGTCCTCTGTCGTAAGTACCTTCTTTGCATACTCTCAGCAATGTGCTGCTTTTCCCTCTTTTCTTCTTTCTTTCGTGCTAGTCCTGGGACAACTTGGTTTGATATGCCCTGACAGGCTTGTCCTTTCTTCCTTGTAAATACTTGCCCGAAAACGCCAAGACATCTCTCTCCATATCAATGATGACAACAGGAAGCTGACATATTCGTGACTGATCAGAGCAGCGGAAAGTCCGCTGTGACAAGAACAAACCCTGCGGAAATTGTGTCAAGGCTGGGGTCGAGTGTCGTGTCATCCCTCCGCAGCCACCGCGGCGGCGGAAGAAGCGCATCTCCGAGAGGGACCTGGTCGCTCGCCTGAGAAAGTATGAGGCCTTGCTGGCTCAGCACGGCGTCGAATTCGAGAGTCTCGGTCCAGACATCAAGATCACGGACCCTGGCACCGTCCACGAGGGCGATGAACTAGACACAGATTTCAGGCGCAGGGAGGCCAGCGACTCGGCCAATCCGGAGTTAATATCTTCGCCTGGAGAACATCCGCATATGCCAAGGTTGGTGATGTTACTCTCTAATCGTGTGCACTTTTGCTGACAAGTTTTGCAAAATAGGACATTCAAGTGGTTCCCGTTCCAAAAAGAGGTTCGTAATATCTGACTCGAATATGTGCTTACACTGCTAACAGTGTTGTCTCTAGTTCAAGGCTTTGGAGCAACAGCTTGAGGAGTCATCAGAAGACGAAGACCTTGGTTCCGGTATCAACAGCGCATATGACAAGATGTTTGACAACTCAGACGGCTTTCCGTTCATGGCTGGAGGAGGCGCGGCAAGTGTCACATCACAGCACCCGTCTGCCATCCAGATTATCCAGCTCTGGCAGATCTACCTCAACAACGTCAACCCACTCCTCAAGCTCACACATACTCCGACCCTGCAGGAGCGCATCATTGAGGCCACGGCCAATATCGGCAAAGTGTCAAAGAGTCTCGAGGCATTGATGTTTGCCATATACTTCATGGCCGTCACGTCCATGACCGATGAAGAAACGCAGCTCACTTTCGGTCATGATAAGGGGCAACTGTTGCAGCGCTACTATACTGCATGCCAACAAGCCTTGGTAAATGGAGGGTTTATGCGCCACACCGATCTCACCCTCCTACAAGCATTCTTATTATATCTCGTAAGTCATCTTGACCCCCGATCCGTGGTCTGTGTTCGGTCTTTCTCACCTTTTGATAGATGGGCATCCGGCATTACATGGATCCGCGGTCGCTGTTCTGCCTCACCGGAATTGCCGTGAGACTCGCTTATCGTATGGGCCTTCACCGCGACGGTGCTGGTTTCAATCTCTCGCCCTTCGAGACCGAGGAGAGAAGGCGGCTATGGTGGAATCTGGTCAGTTTCGACCGCCGCATTGGAGAGATGACGGGGTCGACAATAACGGCAATCTCCAACGGCGGTGACTGTAGACTGCCACTCAATATTAACGATGCCGACCTCCACTTGCACGCCAAAGATTCTCCTGTCGCGCACGTCGGCGCTACGGAGATGATCTTCTCCTTGACCAGGCTGGAATTTGCCAGAGCTCCGGGCAGCGATAAGATGAAAATGGTGCTTTCAGAAACCAGCCCGCAAGTGCCCAATGTGGCCGATCATCGCATGGTGAACTACATTGAGCGCTTGATCACTCATCTCGAGGATACCTATCTCAAGCACTGCGACCCCAAGATACCGCTGCATTACTTTGCCCTCACCATGACTCGCGCCAGCGTGAGCAAACTGAAGGTGATATCGGGGTTCTACAAAATTGCAACGACCGCTCCTCAACCGCTGAGCCCCGTGGAGAACGAAACGCTCTTCCTCGAGTCCATCAAGATGATCGAATACGACAGCATGATACAAGCCAATGAGAGCCTCAAGGGCTTCAAGTGGTTTACTCTGATGCATTTCCCCTTTCCTGCATATGTCGCTCTCGCCAAGGAACTGCGAGTCCGAACATCCGGGGAGCTCTGTGAACGAGCCTGGCAAGCCATGATCGAGAACCATGACCGCCGAGGAATCACCAAGAAGATGCGCAGCCCAATGCATCTAGCATTCACCCCGCTGTTTCTCAAGGCTTGGAACGCGCGTGAGGCGCACGAGGCATCACAGGGAAGGACGCTGGCGCCACCAGTCATGATCACCGGAATGAGACAGCTTGCGGCTCGCCTGGGCATGAAAGAGAACAGCAAGTCACCGGAGCCCATGACGCCGGGCATGACGCCGAGAAGCTTTTCGAGCCCCGAAGCCGAGATCAACCCAGCAACGCCGAGTATGCCGCCCTATCCAGTCACACAGCCGGCATGGAACACGAGCTCGGCAATGGACACCAGTCAGGGCCAGTATGCCGGTGCTTTTGCTGATGTGAACTTTGGTGGTGAAGTTGACTGGAACTTTCTGTTCCAACAATACAGCGGGCTTCCGAACATGCAAGGGCCGCCGAATGCGCAGCCGATGCCACAACCGCCGCCTCCTCCACCTTCAAGCCAAATACCTACCAACACTGGTATGTTTTCTATATGGCAATGAGTGCTTGGGAAAGTTTCAACAACAACATAATCGTGCGAGCATTGTGTAATGTAATGTGAATTTTGGATCGCGATCTTCACAGAAGAATCTGACAGATCAGGGAGCACACGACGGCATACAGCATGGAGGACTGCTAGATGTATCAATTTCCTCATTCACTTCGACGGAGATGCTTACAAGACCGCATGGCTACTGTTATATATTTGGGATACCCAAGATCGAAGAATTTGCTTTCGATCGGAACAATCGAGCTTGTCGATATGGTCAGGGCACGAAATCATACGATATGTGTAATAGATGACTGCCATTGTCCAAAGTATATATTGGGACTGTACCATAAACAAGATGATATACAAACCTATTACGTCGCTGGTGCTACCGTGAACACCCCTGACGCGTCAAAAGTTTGGTGTAACGTAAATACAAGGCGATGACATCCTGTTTGATTGTCATCCAGGCCCTGGTCTTGATCTTTCGCTTTTGAGCTCACTGTGTTCGTGGAGAAGGCGTCTTGAGAACAGACTGGAGGAACAGATCGCTGGAAATTTATAACCAATACCACGCTGTAAAAGAAGTCCGAGAACAACAGCGCTGCCAACAGCAGATCATGAGCTCCCCATCGAGCCCAGCGGGGACCCTGCCCCGGCGCAACAGCATGTCGTCGTATTTCCTGACCTCCAAGCCGGAACAGGGCGGCGCCAACGATCTGGCCCAGGTGCGTCTCTCCTCCCTCTTCTCCCTCCTCCTCTTCTTCTTTTCCATTGTCTACTCCCCAGACGGTTCTAAATAATGTGAAAAAAATGTAGATCCACCGGCCGCCTCCCCACTACGACCCAAACACCACCCTCATGAGCCCCCTGTGCCGCGACCCGCTGCACGCGCCGTACCAGTACCACACGTTTGAGAACCTCGAGGCGCCGCGGGGCGCCGTGTCGTCGACGAGCGTCACATCGTCGTCGTCGCAGCTGTCCGCCGGCGGCGGCGGCGAGGCGATGGCGAGATGGCGGAGAGCGGCGGGAGGCCGGGGCGAGCCCGTGGTTACGGTGGTGGTGTGCTCGTTTCTCCTGTGCGGGCTGTTGTATCTCATGGCGAGCGGGTTGAGGTCGTATTGGGTGTGTGGGAGCGTGACGGGCCGGTGTTGATGGGGAGGGGCGTGGTCGGACTTTTGGGCGAGGAGGTTTTAGAGGATGGAAGTACGAGGATACTAGTTTCGTGCTTGTGCTCTGTGAGACGGCTCAGCGGTGACTTGGAGAGCCTGTGGACGCTCTTGGGAGCTCGCCATGGTCATAGATGACTAGGTCAGTTTCCAGCTGGATTTTGCACAGTGCTCGGCTTGGATGGGATCTAAGTCATCAGCTGGTGCTGTGAGGGAACAAATTCGGAAACTGATATAACTCTTTGTTGCGGAGCTACACACTTGCTGGGAATGGCATGTTTTTGCATGCCGTCGAGAGGGTATGTCAACAGTTTCCCAGGGAATAATTATACGAAACAAATACGTACTATAAAATGCTGCAACTCGAGGAAAAGACGACCTGACCGAGAATGATCTTATTTTCAACTTGAAACACGCAAGGTATAGGTTTGCTCAACGAGCTTGTTCATCGACTCTTCCGTGTTTGCAGGTTGCCTCGACCCACTGACAAAGATCGAATATAACCGTGAACATTTCCATCGTGTTATTCGAGACAAGTGGACTGGAGAGGCAAGCAAATGATATAGGGATTCCAGTGTAGAACAACCGGCAGGCAAGCCCCGAATTATCTGATTTTAATTGTCATCTTGCCGTTGCTCCTACTTTGGGTAGTGCATGTATGAGGGGGCAGATGAGGAGAGATCTTGAACCATAGCAAGTACTAGAGGAAACAAAAATATCCCCCAAAAAATAAATCAAGTCTCCGATACAGGGAATCGAACCCTGAGCTAAGGAGTGAGAATCCTTAATGTTAGCCGTTACACCATATCGGATCTATTCTGTTTGTTGGATGTTTCAAGAGCTGTTCGGCGACAAGTAGACAAGGCAGCAGTCTCTGAAACGTACTTGCTGATTGGCAAGAAAGCCACAGTTTAATTGACTGGCTTGGTGAGGAAGGCGCCGCCGTTTGCATTTTGGCAGATGTGGACTATCGATTTGCTCATTCTTATCCACCATTGCAAGAAGTTGGCAATAGGTTTGGAGACCTTTCACTTTGATAATGGATCTTTCAAGAATGTGTCCTTCATTCTTGCTTCTTAGGAGACTCTATCATTCTCTTAAAATGCCGACATGCACGACAAACCCAGCGCTAGATCTGAGATCCTCCGTGAGAGCAGCCTCTGGCACGCGCCATGTACGAAAGTGCTGATGGAATTCCTTTATCCAACCTTCGAATATTTCAGGATCCCGCAGTTGTTGAGCACTACAAAGTTCTGGGTATTAGTGACATGACAAGTCACTAGAGAGTAGCCGGGAGGATGCTTACACAATGCAGACAGCCGGCCGGGTTTGCCCACTTGTGTCTGATTCTCTTAATCGACAAACGTCAACGCACGTCTGCACCAAGGGTTGGATCAGAGCATCATTATAGATGCAATCACAGGCAATAACAACGTCGAAACTCTTGACGCTGTCGGAACCGGTCAAGTCGGAGGCGACCTCGTCTAGCTCCCAGTCGAGAGGTGTGAAGCCAAGGTCAGTCTTGGGCGCAGCAGATGCATTCTTTCCCTTTCGACGGGACCCAGTGCTCGATCCACGACTAGCATTTTCCGCCAGGTTGCTCTCTACGAATTTTGACACATAGGACTGGTCACTGAGGACGTATTTGGAGATGGACGGAGCCAAAGCCAGGCCCGTGAGGCCAGAGATGCCGCAGCCGAGCTCAAGGACGGCCGACGCTGAGTTGAGAATGGCCGTCTTCCACAGAGGATTGTTAGGAGAAGTGATCCATTCCGCAAACATGGGTGTTATCTTCCACAGCACTGCGAGGGGAAGAAATCAGAGTGTTAGATATATTGCTGCCTTCATTTCACCACCGAGTGAGTCCCAACTCACCAGCACCAGTGGTCCCACCCGCCCGGTTCGACGAGAGGACGGTCGGGGACTGATGTATAACATAGTCCCTCCTAGCCACGGTCAACTCCAGCTTGGTCGCTCTAGCGTCCACAAACCCAAGGTTTTGCGAGGGTATATCGCGACTGAAGAGCAGGAATGTTTCTACACGAGGGTTTCTTTGAGTCAGTTGCGCGATCTGTTGGCGATCATGAAGCCTCCAAAGACAGATAATAAACATACCCTCATCTGGATCATCCACCTCGGGACCTAGCAATGCTAAGAAGTTGTCCATCTTTGAACCCCGTGGTTCATCTGATTGGATGCCGAAACAAAAGTGTGCACAGATTTGGTTCAGTTCCCGCAGCACTAAATTTGGCGGGTTGGACTATTCTGATTGGGCGACTCTATCTGGTAGGCAGGACTTGCATAGAGTAGGAAGGCGGTCGGGTGATGGGGCTACAAGGCGATAGCGGCGTGTGGCTTGGGCAATCTGACGGATTATTGTTCTACACAAGATGCGTGCAAGTGAATTCTTTTTTCCAGACTGGAACATTGGATGATTAGGACCAATGTATAAGGGACATGTCATCCTTGGTGTGGCCGAGTGTCATTGGAAGGAATATCACACGCTGGCCCAGCTTGTTGTAAGCTCTACACGTGTGCAAAGTAGTCTGTATGGAGTACAATAAGGACCACCTGGGCCCGGGCACTGAGAAGACCTCGGGAAGAGCGGTACATCAAGGTTTCCCATAAAATGTATCCGTATATTTCAGTACAGTGCCTAACTAACTGCAACGTGGATAAAGAACCATGAGGCACCAGTTGTCGGGTACCTTTGATGCTCCTCGTTGGTTCACTGGTATGACTGGTTGTGATAAAGCTATCAACTGGACTACCAGACCTACCTAGACTATTAGTGATTATCCTCCAAAAGATATGCCATCGTGGGTCAACTGCCAGTAGTGAGTGACCTCAATGACTCAAGTGCTGACTGGCAATTACTGGTAGAGAACCATAGGGTGCGTGGAGATGAGTTCGTCATTGTTTAAAATCTGGAGCTTGGACGTTAGCTGGCCTTGGCCACCTAAGAACTGATCGATTCGACCAGGGTTACAGGGGGGCTGGCAGCTGTCCGCGCTATGCCCCGCCCGGAATCGCACCGTCCTGATTGGCGCTCGGCAGCTGGGCTGGGTTGACCTAGGTCTCGGTCAATTGGTCATCTGCAGGTGGTCGCATAACTATGGAACCCGCAGCCTGAATGTTTTCGTCATTTCTTCTCTCTGGGAGCTCTCCAGGCCTTTAGAGCTAGGTAGCCGATCAAGATTGGAGAGAGAATGCGTACGTAGGTGTAGGGCGCCGCAATCCAAGGAAACTCAAAGGCGACGTCGCACACACTTTTCGTCTCGTCGTGATCCCCTCAAACCTCGGCCTTCCACTTTACTTTTACTCTTCAGAGGTCGTCTTCTTTCTTCGTAGTTCCTGCCATCCAAAAGTACTACACTGCACCTCGGCCTGCCACTCCACCCCTGGCGTTTCTTATTACTATCCCAAACCAAAACCGCCGAGCTCTAGCCATATCTCTCATCCCCAACTCTTTTCCTCCTTAACCCCGAATTCCACCAACCTCCGGCTTCCTCCCCCCAGTTGTCCGGTCCCTCCATCGCGCTGAGGTCGACCTCTACAGTTCATCTGCAAAGCTGCATCCTCTCTTGAAGTGGGCTATCCCATTCATCGCACTCCTCGCCGCCATCATCATGTCGTCGTCATCGTCGTCGCCATGGGCAGACGCCAAGTACAGAACTCTGGCCCTCCAGCCAAAGATGTCGGCGCGCGCTCCCTTCTCCATCGAAGTTCCTGACTCGAAACCCGTCGAGGGCGAAACCATCCCGCGCCGCCACCCCCTGTCGAAAGACGGCCTCATCTCAAAGCCAGTCGACAACATCTCCACCGTCTACGAGCTTGTGCGCGTCAGTGCCGAGAAGTTCGGCAACGCCAAAGCCCTGGGCTCCCGCCGCCTCGTGCGCACCCACCAGGAGACCAAGAAGGTCAAGAAGATCATTGATGGACAGGAGCAACAAGTCGACAAGAACTGGACCTTCTTCGAGCTCAGCTCCTACGAGTACATAACCTACCACGAGTATGAGAAGCTCGTTCTCAATGTTGGTTCCGGTCTGCGGAAGCTCGGAATGCAGAAGGAGGACCGCGTACACATCTTTGCTGCCACGAGCTCAAACTGGTTGGCCACGTCGCACGCCGCAGCATCGCAGTCCATGCCCATTGTTACTGCCTACGACACTCTGGGAGAGGATGGCCTGAGGCACTCCATGGTCGCGACTGGCGCAAAGGCCATTTTCCTGGACCCCCACCTGCTGCCGACTCTGGGCAACGTGCTGAAGGACGCCACCGAAGTGCGCTACGTTATCTGGAACAGCCAGAACCAGGTCAAGGAGGAGCACATCAGCGCCTTGAAGAACAACTTCCCTCAAGTCACTGTCATCAGCTTCAAGGACCTCGAGAAGCTCGGCAAGGAGAACCCCTTCGACCCCGTTCCTCCCCAGCCCGAGGATCTCTGCTGCATCATGTACACATCTGGCTCCACTGGCACACCAAAGGGTGTCCCGCTGAAGCACAGAAATGTCATTGCCGCCGTCGCTGGTGTCAGTGTCGTGGTTCAGCCGTTCATCGGCCCCGGCGATGGTCTCCTGACATATTTGCCCCTGGCCCACATTCTCGAGTTTGTGTTTGAGAATGCTTCCCTCTACTGGGGAACGACCATGGGTTATGGTAACCCGAAGACTCTGTCCGACCAATCCGTCCGAAACTGTGCTGGTGACATTCGCGAGTTCAAGCCCTCCGTCCTCGTTGGTGTGCCGGCCGTCTGGGAAAATGTCAAGAAGGGTATCAGCGCCAAGGTGTCTGCTGGCTCTATGATCGTCCAAAACATGTTCTGGGGTGCCTTGTGGGCCAAGCAGACGCTTCTGGCTGCCGGCCTCCCGGGCTCGGGCCTTCTTGACGCCATTGTCTTCAAGAAGATCAAGGAGGCTACTGGTGGCAAGTTGAAGCTGTGCATGAACGGAGGTGGTCCCATTGCAAAGGACACGCAGAAGTTCATTTCCATGGCTATTGCCCCCATGATCAGCGGCTACGGTCTCACAGAGACTACCGCCATGGGCTGCTTGATGAACCCTCAGGAGTGGACATCGGAGTCATTGGGTGCCATGCCAGCCTGCATTGACGTCAAGCTGGTTGATTTCCCCGATGCCGGCTACCACGCCACTAACAAGCCCAACCCGCAGGGTGAGGTCTGGATCCGCGGCCCGTCCGTGTTGGAGGAATACTACAAGAACGACAAGGAGACCAAGGAGGCCATCGCCGAGGGTGGCTGGTTCAAGACTGGTGATATCGGCGAGTGGGACGAGTACGGCCACTTGAAGCTCATTGATCGCAAGAAGAACCTGGTCAAGACTCTGAACGGAGAGTACATTGCTCTCGAGAAGCTCGAGTCCATTTACCGCTCGGCGGCCGTTGTCGGAAACATCTGCGTGTATGCCGATGACTCCAAGACCAAGCCGGTTGCCATCATCGTTCCCATGGAGCCGGCGCTGAAGAAGATTGCCTCGTCGGTGGGTGTGCCCGAAGGAAACCTGGAGGAGATGGTCCACAACAAGAAGCTCCAGAGCGCAGTGCTCAAGGAGCTCCAGAACACTGGTCGCCAGGGCGGACTGTCGGGCATTGAGATCATTGACGGCGTCGTCGTTTCGGACGAGGAATGGACGCCACAGAACGGCCTGGTCACGGCTGCACAAAAGCTGAACCGCAAGGGCATCGTCAGCAAGTACAAGAAGGAGATTGACGAGGCATACGGCTCGTCATAGTCGTCGTCGCGGGTCTTATAATATAGTAGTAGTAATACGTTTTCCTTGTTTGGTGGGCACTC